CGATTGCAGGATTTGCAAAGCATGTGCACTGCAAACTCGCTGTCAGCAGATATTTTCCAAATCTTTTCATGTTTTTAATCAAGCTGCTCGTGTGATTTGAGGCATTTTGCGATGTAAGACCCGTTTTATCACCATATATATCTTGATTATTGATCAGATCGTCCTGACTCGGCTTCACCAATTTGTGTGAAGCAAACGCAAGTGATACTAGAGGTGGAATCTGATTGGTCCACAGGAGAGGCTCAGAAGGGACATAACTCGTAATAGCCACTGGTGGCGCTACGATCGAGGCCAGTAATTCCAGTCTAGTTTGGCAAGGGTGGAAACTGGACTTTTAAAGTCAGTTAATTCTCTTGCCTCAGGAAGATGGCTCTATGTGGGAGGAAAGCCTGAAGTGATGCAGGTCTCAGACATTTTCCACTTTGGTGAAACCCACAGGTGCATGAAAATTGTGTTCTACGAGGGGTGTTCATTAAAGATTTCCCCTGACCCACTTCTGATGGACCTAGTGGAATGAAACTTGGCATAGGTATTAGTCTTTCTCCACATAGGAACCACCAAGAGTTACACACTTCTCCCATCGTTTTATGCAACTATCGTTTTATGCAACCTCGCTTGTAAAAGCCCTCATTTTGCGTCTCAAACCAGGACTTGACTTCAGAAATCAGTGTTTCATCATCTGTGAAACGTTTTCCCTTAAAAAATGGCTTCATGGTTGGAAAGAGGTGGAAGTCAGATGGTGCAAGGTTAGAAGAGTAAGGAGGATGTGGAAGGATTTCATAGCCACAGGACCGCGCTTCTGTCTGGGCAACATGAGAGTTGTGTACTGGAGCATTGTCTTGCAGGAGACGGACACCCTTGGTCAGCATGCCATGCCTCTTAAGCTTGATAGCGTCCCACAATTTCTGCAGCAGTGAAGCATAATAAGCTCCTGTAATTGTGGTCCCCTTTGCCAAGAAATCCATCATCATTACTCCGTGCTGGTCCCAAAACACCGTGAGCATGACCTTGCCTGCAGAGGGTTGGACACGTGCCTTCTTTGGGGGTGGTGACTCCACATGCTTCCATTGCATCGACTGAACTTTAGTCTCAGGATCATAGTGATGGACCCATGTTTTATCCTTTGTGATAAGTCTGTCAAAAAAGGTTGCCTGTTTTTTTGGCACATGTCCAAAAGATCCTTTGAGCAATTGACTCGTTCCTGCTTTTGTAAAGGTGTGAGCAACCTGGGAATCCATCGTGCAGACACCTTATGCATGTTCAAATTGTCATGGATGATTTTTTCCGCAGACCCTACACTGATCTTGACATCTTGTGCTAACTGGCGAACAGTTAAACGTTGGTCTGCCAAATTGCGGTCTCCACTTGATGGAAAGATTCCTCATCAATGGCTGAATGGGGGCGACCAGGAATGGCAGCTGTTTCCACAGATGTCCAACCACACTTGAACTGGCGATCCCAGTGTTTAACAACGTCATATGATGGGGCATCTTCCCCATAAGTTGCTTTCATTTCATTGAAAGTTTCTTTTGGTGTGCGACCTTTCAAATATAAAAACCTAATCACTGCTCTGTATTCTACTGGCTCCATTGTCACACCCTACTCGATCATAACACCTGTAAAAGTGGTAAGATTAATAGTTCGGTGCTGCAAATTCAGAAATAACCCATAGATACATGTATCATTACACATGTCAAATTTCAACCAAATATGATAACCCTAAGTGGTTTAGGGGAAATCTTTAATGAACACCCCTCGTAATTTATGTCTGACTGACCCTCACATATGTGTAATTGTTGCTGACATCATCCAACTGTGGGTACTTCAAGATTATGTGTCCCTGTTCCTATAGTATCTGTATCAAATATCATGACACAGACATCAGAGATCTGAGATTTTACGTATTTAGACTACTTTACGCACCTATGTTTCAACTTTGATACATTTATGGGACCAGGGAACAACCTGGTTTTGTCTGGCGCAACTTGCTGTTCATATCAACATGCACCTGCAGCTGGTGCAAGTTAAATCCAGTTCCTTAAATCAAGCCCTGCTTTTGACAATAAATTAGTAAACCAAGTCACAAATACTAAAGGCTTAGGGAAACCTGCTTTTAATTGAAAAATCATGGATCAGGGCTAATGGCCTTTCCGTCCCGAAAGGTTAAAACATAGCAGCACTAGCCTTGTGAAATGGGGCCATGATCTTTTCAAGTATGTAGTGAGTGCTGTCATACCATGATTGTACAGAAGGGCTCAAGTTCTATTAAGATCAGACATTCTTTGTCCATTCTTTGTGGAGAAGGTCAAAATGCTAATAAATCCCTCCAGCATGAGGACATTTTGCAATAATTGTCACACAAAAAGGAGTGTATGAAACTGAGCCCATTGAATTTGCCACATTCATTAACCAGAAGCATTAATATATAATTATAACCGCTGTGGACGACAATATACCTGACTTAAAGACCATTGACCTGTAATTAGGATGATCAATTTTTAAGCAGTCATTGTCTAATGTTGGACATCTGATGAATATCTCAGCAAAATCCAAAGATAATTGGTTTCCTTACAACACATTAAACCATATCTGCCTGTTATAAGAGATACTCAGCAAATTTAAAATACAATTTATACACAGACCTCAGGTGACATTCAGCCATAGATACAATGATTAGTTGAAATATAAGTCATTCTTTGAGGAATGGAACTTAAATCAATGACCTTGTAAGGCAATTAGAGTGAGGACTCTAAATAATTCAGCATGGTTTTTAAGTTGCTACATTAAGCAGATTATTCGGAACTGGGTAAAGTGAGTGAGTGAGTTGGGGTTAACACCGTTTTGAACATTATTCCAGTTATATCACAGCATGTCAGCTTGATGTGGGGGAAAAGCCCAAAATGATGCAGGTCTCAGACTTTGGTGAAACCCACGACCACAGGTATGGATACCCCAGGTATTATACTGATTCAGTGCCTACTTTATCCCTTTAATTCCGAGAGCCAGGCTGGGTAACAACAAGTACCATCTTTAACATCTTTTGGTATGACGCAGCAAGGAGATTGAATGACCGACCGTCTGCTCTCTGGGCACACTCCCTATCCACTAGACCACAGAGGTTTAAAATTTCCTATGGAAACTGATACAAGAAACTGTAGAATAAATAAAACAATTATCCCCATATATTAACCTTCATATATCCCAGTAACCTAGTATGATTAAGGACTGTAAGTAATCGAGATGGCATGGGCCAGAAAAGCTAGTTATTCATATTATGAGCAACATAGCATGGGGTCAGGGTACGATGACACACAATCAACCAAGTCACCAAGCCATGCCATCACGGTATGTTGAAAACAAAACATGATCAAGAGGCTTCCACCTGAATTCCATTTGGTCAGTGACAAGCTGAGCTAGGACCAATTCCAACTTGGCATACCAACAAGGAGTGTTGTATTTTAAATGTTCCCATCATACATTTTCAATTGCAAATGCTGCTTTCAAATTTTGCTACAATCCTTCATATATCCTTCTTGGAAAATTCAAAATGTCCAAACCAAAGGATAATCGGTTTCAAATAAAACAAACCATTTCATCATCATCACTAACAAATCACAAGCCTCTACCTGCATGTGGCAAGCACATAAAATCTAGACACAGATTCGAAATAGGTGAATGACCTGTACAGATATTTTTATGAATTTGAGACGCTCAAAGCAAGAAGAAAATCTAATGCCAAGACCAGGATCTCCAGGGAGTTCTGTGTTCCACATTCACAGGAGAAATCTGACACTGGTGGTTAGCAAGACATTGTTCAACAACAGCATAGATTTCCTTCAAAACACTCAAGGTTAGTAAGACATTGTTCAACAACAGCATAGATTTCCTTCAAAACACTCAAGGTGAGTGAGACATTGCTCAGCACAAGCATACATTTCCTCCAACCTATTATGATGCACATCACTCAGTTGGCAAAATACAACCAGAAATATAATTGCAAGTGTTTTTCCACAAACAGAATGTTTGTGTGTGTGTGTGTGTGTGTGTGTGTGTGTGTGTGTGTGTGTGTGTGTGTGTGTGTGTGTGTGTGTGTGTGTGTGTGTGTTTGTGTAACAATACGTTTCCATGTGTGTGTGTCTGTGTGCATGATTGTGCATCTGTGTGTGTCCGTGCATTTGCGTGCGTGAGTGCGTGCAGGCACTCGGGCGGGCGTGTATGGTGGGGCTAAGAGAGAAGATACATAGTGAGTGATTGTACAGAGTTTTATGTGGCACAATGGCACAATGGCACAGCTGGTTGTCCATCCTATATGTCATTGATCAGAATCAAGTGAGCATTAAACATTGCTACAGACAGCAATATTCCAGCGACATCATGATATCATACTCTAGCTGTATCATTGCAGCCTGGAAATAGTCAAGTCTAGACACTCCAGTGACCTAAACCATGAGCAGGATCCATGTCACTGGGACACAATGTCACAGAATCAGCCAAATCACCAAGCATGACCATCCAATCCTCTGTCATTGGCTCTTATAATAAGCCTGGCATACAGTGCACCAACAGGGTTACAAGTGTGGAATACAGGGTACCTAGCTCCAACAGGGCTACAAGTGTGGGATACAGGGTACCTAGCTCCAACAGGGCTACAACTAGTGTGGAATACAGGATACCTAGCTCCAACAGGGCTACAAGTGTGGGATACAGGGTACCTAGCTCCAACAGGGCTACAAGTGTGGGATACAGGGTACCTAGCTCCAACAGGGCTACAACTAGTGTGGAATACAGGATACCTAGCTCCAACAGGGCTACAACAAGCATGGGATACAGGGTACCTAACTCCAACCTACAACATGCATGGCATACAGGGTACCTCCTCTTCCTAGTAACTCCAACAGGGCTACAAGACATTACACTTTAATATCACACTTAAATGTACCTGGGTTGTATCAACAAACTGTTAGAAATATTCACAAATATTGAGGGAAGTTAAATCTTACCTGCCAGATATGTTCTGCAAATATTCCAGTATGTCTGAAAGATAAAGAAACATATTTAGACTTTTCCGCTGCAACAAACAAATAACACAACAAGCCAGCTGCATGAAAGTCAACCACCTACAAGGGGCGTTCAATAAGTTTTGCAACTTCAATATAAGACCAAGGCGCAGAATATCTTTTGCACTTTTATTTTTCAATATAATCTCCATTTACCTCAATACACTTATTCCATTTGTCCTTCGGGCTTTTAATACCACTTTTATAGAAATCTGCAGATTGGCCCTCTAACCCCGCCTCTGTGGCAGCCTTTATGTCCTCGTCATCCTGGAAGCGTCTTCCACGTAGGGCAGATTTCATTTGCCGGAACAGGAAATAGTCACTGGGGGCTAAGTCTGGACTGTACGGTGGGCAATTCTCGACTTGTGAGCGTTGTCATGCAAAAGTAGAATACCACGTGTTAATATCCCACGGCTTTCTGGCGAATAGATTTTCGTAATTCCTTCATTACATTAGCATAATCCTGTCCATTGAATGCAGTTTTTGGTAGCATGTAATCAATCAGTAATATGCCTCTTGCATCCCAAAATATGGTGGCCATTACCTTGCCAGCCGATGGTTGAGTGCAAAACATCCTCGGAGGCAGAGAATTGGGGCGCTTCCATTGCATGGATTCCAATTTAGTTTCTGGGTCCCAGTGGTGGATCCATGTTTCATCACCTGTCACCAGACGAGAAAGAAGGTCTTGACAACTTTCAGTTCTCTGATGGCGATCTTGAGCTCTGAGGTTTCTAGGTACCCATCTTGTAGATACCTTGGACATACCAAGATGCTCATGAATAATGGTTACAACAGTTCCAAATGATATTTGGAATTCCCTAGAAAGTTCAGATACTTTCACTCGTCAGTCAGACAAAATTCTTTTTTCTATAGCAGCAATGGTTTCCGGTTGAGTGGCATCTGAAGGCCTGCCTGACCTTGGGTCATTGTCTTTGGATTCCCTACCCCTTTTAAACTGTAGCGACCAACGGCAAACTGTGGAATTGCCAGGAGCATCCTTACCCATCACTTTACACATGCGATCATGAATTTCTTTTGCTTTGCATCCCTCCTTGGTAAGGAACTTATTTACAGTGCATGGTTCATGTTAGAGAGAACCCATGATTGTGACCACCCTTAGGTGAATGAAGCCATCACATCTAATTTATTGTTGTGTCTAGAACTTGTTATGACATGTGTCAACCTGATGTTAAGACTAGTGTCTCACCTGCCACACGTTGACGTTGTTTGTGTAAACACAAATGCCCAATTTGCAAAACTTATTGAAAGCCCCTCTATTATAAGTTGTAGCAGTATCACAGAGGTACTTATGGTTTTATAAGTCCTGGGATGCACAAAACCACATGTTCCCCTGAGTGATACTCCAACAACAAATTTACCTTACTGACATGTTTTAATATGACATTGTAAAATAATAAAAACACACTCAAATTTGACTTTCATTCACTCAGATAAAGTGTGCGGCTTTTTGCTTCGAAGCAGGGCAGCCTGTGTTGTTCATGGCGGGGTATAAGAGATTTATTTTCCCCCTGAGAAATTTATTTCCTTCCAAGGCGGGATACATGGTATTTTATCAAGATCATGTGAACCAATCAGAGCTCATCATCCTGACATGGAAGTATGATAATGCTGATGACAAGTGTCTGTACAAAATCAGGGGGCAGTTTCACGCAGGGAACAACCTAGTGCCGATTGCAACAGGTTTCTATTCAATATCAGGGTCCTATTTGAAGAAGGTCACTGCTGTCACATTGCTGTCACCTTGTTGTGGTCACATTGGGGTCACATTGCAGTCATATATGAAAGTTTGTTCTTCATAACATCTGCACAACGTATCATGACAGAATTTCTCAACACCATTTTGCCAGGACATTAATAAATATCTTATATGTGAAATCACAGATGTGTGCACCGTAGAGCACCATGACACAATCAATCTGGTTTGGAACCAAACTCAAAAACAAATCCAACCTGTAACACAATTTCACTATCACCAAGAGTGACAACAACTGGTTGATTTCTGATGCATTCACAGCCTATAGCATTTCAAAACATATCTAAACACAATCTTAAGTTGTCAGCTGTACTTCTGTGTCGATAAAGGTCATAAAATCACCAGATAGTTGTGTAAACATTAGAGGGCAAAAACAATCTCCACCAATGGGAAATCCAATAGGGAAAATCACCATCTACAATAATACAAGACTTGTTCTTACTGCTCTAGATTCAAAAAGCAAGTTGTACAATCAGGTCAAGCAAACATATGAAAACAAAGAGTATGCACATCAAAGAACGGGGCTGATAACCGCTCATCTGAACACACAATGGTGTGAGCGATCCAAGATGATGTTTGTATGGCAAAATTACACTGCAGCGATCAATGTTACCATTAACTGCTGGCTCATTCATAGAGGTGGTATCACTTGAAACAGTCAGCTTTGCATGGAATTGAATGTAATGGAGCCTAAAGAAAGTGTTGGTTATCCCTGGTAAACAGACATTGTCCTTTACAAAAACACAGCTGACTGACTGCTGTGTGAGTGAGTGGTTGCTTACTTGCCATTTACATGAGTAAGTGGTTGGTTTTACTTGCTATTTACCTCAGTCAGTGGTTGGTTAATTGCTTTTACATCAGTGAGTAAGTGGTTGGTTACTTGCTATTTACATGAGTGAGTGAGTGGTTGGTTTTACTTGCTATTTACCTCAGTCAGTGGTTGGTTAATTGCTTTTACATCAGTGAGTAAGTGGTTGGTTACTTGCTATTTACATCAGTGAGTAAGTGGTTGGTTACTTGCTATTTACGTGAGTGAGTGAGTGGTTGGTTTTACTTGCTATTTACCTCAGTCAGTGGTTGGTTAATTGCTTTTACATCAGTGAGTAAGTGGTTGGTTACTTGCTTTTCTACAGTAAGTGGTTGGAAATTTGCTATTTACATGTGTGAGTGAGTGGTTGGTTAATGACTATTTACATGAGTGAGTGAGTGGTTGGTTTTACTTCCTATTTACATCAGTCAGTGGTTGGTTAATTGCTTTTACATCAGTGAGTAAGTGGTTGATTACTTGCTTTTATATCAGTAAGTGGTTGGAAATTTTCTATTTACTTGAGTGAGTGAGTGGTTGGTTTTACTTGCTGTTTACAGCAGTCAGTAGTTGGTTTGTTAGGTGATAAACTTACTGTGTTTTGAAATTGGAATGAGTGAGTGATTAAGTATGGTTTTATACCGCTTTTAGCAATATTCCAGCAATATCACAGCAGGGGACACCAGCAAACCAGCAAACACTTTAACCACTAACCCGTTTTGATATTTGAGGTAGTCTAACTGTAGATAAGATATCTCTGATTATAATTTGGAACTGTTTGCATCAGTGTGTGAGTGGTTGGTTACCGTCTACATCTGCGTGTGCTTGGGTGCATGAGTGAGTGAGTGGTTGGTTACGTGGATGTTGCTGTAATACTGCCTTAATTGTGCTTGTGTGTTACAATGAGTGAAAAACATTGATAAATTGGATTCCGAGACTAGGATGACTTTTTCACTGTGTGTAACTACTTTCCTAGGTAAGTAGTGTCAGATAGTATCATAACTTAACATATTTTCGTCATGGCAACAATTACGTGGTCACAGCTACTTTAAGGTTGAGAACAGATATTCTTGTACTGAAAGGCATCTATTCTTCTCCTCTCAAGCTGGAGCAGATTTATGAAAGAGATGCTTATTACATTGACACATTATGGTATATCAACAATGTATCCAGGTCAGAGTATTCATATATTCCCGACTTCTACTTCCTGGATCAGGTAGTTAACCCATGCAATCATTCAAGCAGCAGGTGCTTGGCCTATATACATCCTTACCACCTCAAACAACATTATCAGTTATTTTGTGACCACAATCTATGACGGTTCCCATGACTAAAATAAGGTAATATGTTTATTCAGTATGTAATTAATATCAACATCCAGATGTGAAGTATGGGTCAGTGCTTCAATAAACAAGGGCTTATTGAAGAAATATTTTGCACATTTATTCCTGATAGAAAACTACACATTATTATATAAAAATATCCTGATGTTTTCAATCATACCAAGGTTAAAACCAAAGTGAACATAAAATTCGTAAATTTTCTTGAACTTAGCTGAATTTCTTTATTGAAGATGGTTTGTGTTTAATGTTAGGACCTGTTCAAATCGTTTAATTTGTGCAAATTGATTTCAATAATCATATCTCTGACATCTTAATTTTAACTGAGTATAAGTTTGATTATCTTTATCCAAACGATAAACAGAATAAAAACTCAATTTTCGAGGTCATCATGTCAGCTGCAGAAATAAGAGTGAGTGGGTTTAACTCCATTATTCCAGTTATATCACAACGTGTCAGGGTGGGTGGGTGGGTGAGTGAGTGAGTGAGTGAGTGAGTGAGTGAGTGAGTGAGTGAGTGAGTGAGTGAGTGAGTGAGTGAGTGAGTGAGTGAGTGAGTGAGTGAGTGAGTGAGTGAGTGAGTGAGTGAGTGAGTGAGTGAGTCAGTGAGTGAGTCAGTGAGTGAGTCAGTGAGTGAGTGAGTTGAATTTAACGTCTCTTTGAACAGCATTTCAGTTAGGAAGAAAGCCCAAAGTGATGCAGCTCTCAGACGTTTACCACTTTGTTGAAACCCACGAGCATGGGTATGGTGCAAACAAACCTACAAACATACCTTGTTCGGTTAACCTGGATTTGAACACATGATCATAGGCAACTGCAACTCTGCACAGCAATGCGGCACTTTAGACAGGGACAACCGTGATCCCATAAAGAAGACAAGGACTAAATGCTAAGTTATCCATTACTGAACACAATGTTACACCGCTGAACTTCCAATTCTTTTAAAAGTGTCAAATTCACACATTTTCCTATTTACTTGCCAAGGGCACGAAGTTTTGACTCCTATATAAATCCCTGGGTCAGCTCACAAGCATGGGAAACTGGGAAACTGGGAAACTG